TGAATTGGTTCTAAGAATGAGAGAAATCTGATGTACTGATTTGAATCTATAATCTATCCACCTGTATATCCTAGCTTTCTTTTGAAAAATTTAGAGCCATTCGATGTAACTGGATAAGGACTTACATTAGTAACGAGTAGAAAAGTAAAAAAAAATTGTCCACGTGTTAGCCCGCAATTATACATTGATTTTAAAAATTTGAAATGTATTGGTTGTGAATCGAATTGATTAGTTTTTAGTAAAGATTGGCTGGCACAAGCTTGTAATTAACTATTGAAATAAAAATTTGAGACGATTTTTATGATTTTTTTCTGACGATAGATATCATGGTCTTTTAGATCATACTAAAACTTTACGTCCCTATGACACGTTGTTTAATTTATAAAATTAGTCAAATTTTGCAAAAGATAGCAGTTTTTTGGTGTTTGTCAAATTTAGAAGACCTTTCATCGACGTTTGCTCAAAAACGCCTGAACCGATTTCAAACATTTAAAAGCAATTCGATGTATCTTATTGGGGATATGAGGATCATAGTTTCTCAGTTTTGTGCGACGATCGGTCGAGCAAATTATCATAGTCTTTGTGTCAAAAGTTTTTGTCATTCATTAAAATGTAGAATAATGAACTACAATTTTAGGTTATATAAGTACGTGTCTGTGCAATATAATTATTACAATTATAGATAATTTAAAAGTATTTGAGAAAATTGAAATGGAAATAGCATTGTTCAAAATTTTATCCAAATATCTTATTCCTAATTTCGATAAATTATGTCAATTAATACACTCATCAAGAAGTTCATGCAACTTGCCTTAAGAAAAAATGCCACTTCCAACTAATTCAAATTTTATCTATCATAGTGTATTATATTGGTTATTTAAGATTAATCTATAATTTAGATTTTAAACTTAAATCGTTTAATACATTATACGTCCTAGGATTTTGATTAATAACTTACCGAAAGAGAATTTTTTGCCAATTTTATGTTTTCTCGAGGTTTCAAGTCATTCTGGATATAAAATTTGGAAAAAGTATTGCGTTTGTGTGTGTGTTTATATATGTATGTATTCTTGTATGATGCATGCATGCATGTATGTATATGTGACTATTTGTTGACATTTTCGCAAAAAGGCATGAACAAATTCGAAAATTTAGAAGCCATTCGATGAAACGTGACTATCACTCGCCTTGTTTGAGATTTGATACAATATATATTATAATTCGACCGTTCAATGATATTTACTGAATAGTAAGATAAATAGCTATTTTGTTCTTGAAAATAATTTTTTTATCTTACCTCAACATGAATACCATACGAATATATATTGATGATGCCGATGTTCTACTCACCTGAAACAAAATATAACTCATTAATAAAAAGAATGAATTAAAATATAATTGCAGAACAACGCGTACAATACTTAATTGTACTACAATTCTAAACTAGGAGAAGCAATTAAATTGAAGAATAGTATATTACCAGAATTAATAATTTGATTATTTGTATTTCAGCTTTATTTATAAATAAATTTGTTTCATTGATAATATCCAACGCAAATAATAATATGTGTATTTTTACTTTAAATTGATATATTGAATTTATCTATGTGGCCTATAATATATAATCGAACTTTTCTAAGGGACATCTGGTTTCTTGAACACTAAATGGTAAGTTTGAAACAGCCATTCTATATTCATTCAATGATGATACCAAAAAAATAATATTTGAAGGAAACTATAATTCTCAACATCAACATATTGGGTTACAGGAAGTGTTGGAAATCATAGTGGACCATACCACAAATTGAGGCAAACTAATAATATTGTCAAACTGGTGTAAACAATATTTATATTTATCTTTAAATGGCAGTACAAAGACTGTTTTGCTCTAAAGTTGTTTCACGTTTTACCTAGAGTAAAGCCGTAAGTGGAGCTTTTAGATAAGTGAATAGTAATAAGTGAACTAATTGGAGATGGTATGAAAAGAAAGAAAAATAACATGTTTCAGGTATATTTTGGGATAGTTCGCTCTTGTTATCAGCTCCTCAATTAGAAAATTATAATCAGTAAAATATTACTTGAGGTCTTCAAAGATTGACACTGCCTAACGATGTTAGCTAATATATAAAGACATTACTACATTTTTTAACAATAATTAAACAGCAATCAGAAAAATTCTAGAAGCTATTGTGTGATTATTAGAACACCAGTAACAGTACTGGAATTCTATATATATATGACATGACGGAGATCACTCCAGTAGGTTACTCCATTTTAATGCATTAGATCGAAGGGATGCTTCTTCTTCAATCTTTTAATATGTGATGCTTGTAATATGGAAATTAATGTGGGGTTATTGTGGTTGATGATCTTGTCTTGATGAATTCCACTTCTGTTTTTCACTACCTCCTGGACAGTATCGATTTTTAGATCGTTATGTAGTATTCGGTTGCTGACATACCAAGGCGCATTTGCAAAATTTTAGATTGTTTCCTTTGGATAGATGAGATTCTTGATTTACTGGCGCAGCCCCACAACTCTACGCCATAAGTCCAAATCGGTTTTATTGAAAGATATTACTTATATAAAGAAATCAGTTAAACAAGTAACATGTTGCCAGCATCCATCACTTTGTAGTAAGTGTTGAAACGTTCTTATGTAATAATAACTTTATCAAAACACTATTTTTTTAACTGAAAAATTCCTTAACCCTGAATTTTTTCCCACCCATCCATATGCATCTCTCCGTATGATACATTTAATCCCCATCTTTGAATTTTTAAATGTTCCCACACCCCGCTCGCACATTTACTCGACCTGAATCATTCATACTTTGCCTGGGGGTCATGCGCGCAATAGTCGTCTTTCGCCCGTTGCTGGCGGCGCGAATGTCTCCAACAAATCACTGGGTTAGCCGGTAGACGTGGCTTTAGAAGTTCAATTGTTTTACGAATCCTCTTGCACATTCAAGGTAAAGTGGTTAGAACGTGCTAGGTTAAATGGTAGAATCGTGATGGTCTATAAAGTCGAATCAGCGGAACAAATTTTTAGTTATTGGAGTATCGGAAAATGGAGAAGGAAATTGGAGCGCTAAGACGGTATTTGGACTTAAAATTGGATATAAATTATGGCATGGAGTAGAATACCTTGTATAATAAATAATCTGTTTACATTAATCACAATTCTAAATATGTAAGTTGCTAAAACGATTGGACCGAATCAGAGTCCCTGGGATCGATACTACTTTGACCAGCCTGTTGTCAAGCAGTAGTGACAACGGTTTCCACTAGACAATATAGATGGCAATATGTTTCAAAGTCATAATCATAGTAGCTGCTTGAATTTCACTTCTTCTCGAATCTTGTTGAAGTGCCCTTTAGAGTTCAATGAAAATTTTAATCTTAAAGCTAACTGTTTTTGTTTCAAAATAAATCAATCAATCAACCACCAAAATAAATTCAAATGAATCAATCAACCACCAAAATAAATTCAAATGATTCAAACTTGAAGTTCGACTTCTAATAGAATAATTGTTTGCATTTTTGCAATAATGTGAAAATGAATTATCATAATGAGGTTTTTGCTCACGTATATACAGACATACATTTCATTTAATTTTGTTTAATTTGTATTAAAAGAGTTTTATTTTATCTATTATTACTCATTGTTGCGAAGAAATTTAACACAAAAAACTAAAAAAAAATTGTAAATATAGAAGATCATAATAGAATTTCCCATTTATAAAAAATCATTCGAATCACAACAAATATTTTAGTCAATTCATTTTAATAAGCAAAGGTAATGTATCAATGTTATTTCAAATATTATTGTTTATTTGTGCGTATTTCAAGAATTTACTAAAACTCTTCTTCTTCGATCACTCAGGTTGTTAGGTTATTATTTAACCTTTGTCGCTGTGGACTGTATTAAAAAACTGATTTAATTTTATATTCTGTATTTGTTGCAGTTCTAATCACAATAACTGATGTATTATTAAGTATTAATGAAGAAAAATATATTTATGCGTATAGGTTAGTTACATGTGGTTAAGTCGGCTTCACTTTTAGAACAGAAGGACTCGTTCCTTTAAAACACAACGCTACCCCCACTACCAGGGGTAGCAACCATTTCGTATAAAGCTTAATGCTCTGAAGTTTTGTAAACTTTCATGCCAATATAATAAAATGAAAAGACGTCCGAACATGCCGGCCGCCTTGAAAAGCTACAGCTTTTAAAAATATAAACATAGCGATTTTGAACTAACATTAAGTATAGAAATTGTATAAAGATTTTACGAGTATAAAAATTGATTAACAATGTGATAGTGATTTGCATGACAATCTAATCTAAAATTATTTAACTTATATTTCTTAATATTATATAAAACTTAAGATATTTCATTATTGATTGGTAGAATGCACACTTTGTTTAGTGCCCTTTTTAATTCTCCATTGGGGCCCTTCAGTGTAACAACCCGTACGACACCATCATTGCCTGGGTGTATATCTGTGATCCGTCCAAGACGCCATTTTAATGGTGGTAGATTGTCATCTTTTATAAGCACCAGTTTGCCTATAAGATTATCTTGTTCCATTGGTCTTCTCCATTTGGTCCGTGATTGTAATTCTCCTAGATATTCCTTGTGCCATCTTGTCCAAAAATGCTGCCTTAGCTTTCAAGATGCTGGAGTTTTGTTAGTCTGTTTTCTGGGATGTGGGAAAGTGAATTTTCTGGAAGTGATGTTAATGATCTGCCGATCAGGAAATGTGCTGGAGTTAGTGGATTGAGATCAGATGGATCAGAGGATAAGGGAGTTAACGGACGAGAATTCAAAATTGCTTCGATTTGTGTTAATAATGTATACATTGAATTGTAACATAATTTTGTCTCGCGTAACACCCTACGAAGATGGTATTTTAAACTTTTTACTCCAGCTTCCCACAGTCCGCCGAAATGAGGAGATCTTGCTGGTATAAAATGCCAGCTAATATTTTGACTTATTAATTTGCTTCTAATCTCTTCGTTAGATTCCAATAAAAATTTATATAAACCTTTAAATGATTGTTTGCTCCAACAAATGTTGTTGCATTGTCCGAAAATATATTACTAGGAAGACCTCTTCTAGCAATGAATCGTTTTAATGTTTGTAAAAAAGATTCTGTCGATAAATCGCAGACCAGATCCAAATGAATAGCCTTGGTGCACATGCAAATAAAAATACAAATATAAACCTTAATAAATTTGGCACCGCGTGTTATTCGATCTTTGATAATAAACGGTCCAGCATAATCAAGGCCGACATTGTTAAATGGAAAATCTTGATTAACTCTACTACTAGGCAAATTTCCCATTAGATAATCATTTGACGATGGTTTTGCTTTGAAACAAGTAACGCATTTCCGAATAATTTCTTTACAAGCGTTACGTCCAGAAATTGGCCAAAATCGTTCTCTAATACTTGCGAGAAGTTGTTGAGCACCACAGTGAAGTAATCGGTGATGCTCTTGGTGTAATATTAACGTAGTTAATTTATGTTTTGAGCATAATATTATAGGATTAATTTTATCAAATGAATAATTTGTGTTTCTTAATCGACCGCTTACTCGTATAATTTTCGAATTATCCATAAAAGGATTTAAACATAAAATTCTGCTCTCTTTACTGAGCGATTTAGAATTGACAAGTTTATTATAATCTAATTGGAAAGATTGTTTTTGTGCAATTACTATCAATACCTTAAAAGCTTGATCTAATTCTTGTGTTGTAAGTGGTCCAAACTTCCGTTTATACTTATCTTTTTTAAGCCTACAATTCGTAATAAATCTATTTACATATGCCATTGTTGATTGTAATTTTCGCAATGTCGAAAACCGAGAAAATAAATTAAATTCTACATTGGTGACTAATAAATTAATTGCTCTTGTTTCTTGTATGTTTTTGTCATTAAAATTTAAATTATCTAAAGAATTCAAAATTGTAATATTTTGAGGCAGCATAAAGGTCATTTAAATAAAATCTATGTTAATTATGTTGTGTTGTAAGCAGAAGAATAAAATTTTATTTTATTTTGCCAATTGTTTAAGATAACGTATAGCTAAAAATGATCCAGGTGCTGTACCATATGTGACCGTATTTAATTCACAAGTTTTTGAATTATCTGTTGGAATTTGTCTACCGTTTTCATTAATTATTATTTGCCGATAAATTTTTGAAGTATCGCCTAATGAAGCATATATAGGCATTCTAAATCTTAACATTTTTGTAAATAAGTCATTTCGAATTGACGTTCCCGTATAATGAACATCACACATTGGCAAGGCGCTTGAAGACTTTCCCGAACTTTGAAAAACATCTCTCGTTTTTGTTTTTAAACTATATTTATTCCTTACTGTGCGATGTGGCAAGAAATATTGACTAATTGACTTAATATTAAAATTACTAACTTCAGACATATGTTTTAACTTACTATATGCATTAATAAAATTTACACAATTAATTTTTAATAAACTATTCTCTTGGAATTTATGTTTACGTGACATAAATCTTTGTATATGACGAGTTTTCAAATCTTCTAAATGTAATTTATTTTTAAAAGGATTTTTTTCTATAAATCTACCTGTAAAATCGCGTTTGAAATTTGTTATAAAACGATTTTCATAAAATGTTTCGTGTTTTGTTAACTTTTTATAATTGTTGTTTTTAATATCTTTTACTTCGGAAACCTTCTCTAATTGTTTATTAATATTATAATTATTCAATGCTAATAAATTTGTTGAATGTTTTGAATTTGTGCAATTCGGAGAAAACGACCCAACTAATATCCAACCTAATAAAGTTTTCTGTAAAATCGGTGCGTTATCACCTAATTTAATTCTACCTACAGATAAAAGTTTCCAAAACATATCTGCCCCTAAAAGTATATCTATATTCCGCGTCTTATTGTATTCCGGATCAGCTAAGAAAATATTTGTCGGAATTTTAAAATTGTTACCTATGGAAACTAATGGAAGTGGTTCTGTTATTTTTTCTAGCACTAAACAATTTATATTGGATTTAAATGAGTTATTTGTAGATTTAAAATTAATATTTGTTGAGAACCGAATATTGGTCTCTATCTGCCCGACGCCCATAACTGTGTAATTTGTTTTGTCTAGTTTTATACCTAGCCTTTTGCAGGTATCTGCCGTAATAAAATTACTTTGTGCCCCGCAATCTAAAAGACACCGACATTCTATGAACTCTCCGCTCGAGTTTTCTACTTTTATAACAGCTGTTGCTAAAATTACTTGTGACTGTAATTTTGTATTAATATTTTTTGTCGAATAATTAGCAACCGTCATATTTGAACCCGATGTGCTAGGAATTGTATTAGTCTCTTCAAAATGAACCAATGTATTATGTTTCATTTTGCATATTTTACACGGAAATGCAAACAAACGTCTACCTTATGCCCTCGCTTGAAACAATTTATACATAAATTCAATTCTTCGATTTTACTTATCCTATCTTTAATAGATAGCGCTTTGAATTGGTTGCAGTAATATAAGGAGTGATTTTCTTCACATAAATAGCAAGTTTGCCGCCCCGTTGACAGATAATTAATTGATGGATTATGATTATTATTTGTGCTCTTGTATTTTATGTGTTGAGCCAAAGATTTATTAATATTATTAGAAAAAGGTTTACTACTAATGTTTGTGGATAACTTTTCCAACATATCACATTTTTGTTTAATAAAATTATTAATATCTGTCAACGTCGGCTTTTCTTTGCTACAGGTAAAAGATTCCCAATCCCGTAACGTACGCGTATCGAATTTATTTGTGAATATAAATATAATAATTGTGTCCCATTTATCTGTGGGTTCGCCTAATGACTCTAATGAGCGTAGATGCCTAGAAATCGTTTCTAATAACGTTCTTAATTCTGAATGAGATTCGCGACTACATTTCGGACTATCAAAAATTGCCTTTATGTGATTATGTATGATTAACCGTTTATTTTCAAACCTGTCTTTTAAAATTTGCCATGCTATATCATAATTAGAATCGGATGCCTCTATAGCTGCAATGCTATTTTTGGCATCTTTTTCTAATGATGATTTTAAATAATAAAATTTTTGAATTTTGCTTAAAGTATTGTCGCTATGCACCAAAGCGTTAAATGAATCATGAAATTCTAACCATTTATCGTAACTTCCATCAAACGTGGGAAGTTTAATTGTAGGCAATTTAATATTTTTGATATTTGTATACGAATCAATGCTAGACGGCCCTATTGTTTGCTGATCGTCTTTACATTTTTTCGTGTCATTGAAATTTTGAATTATAAATTTTAATTTAGCTATTGTTCTATAATAATCATTTTCGAAAGATTCCTTATCGCCTTCTGATACACCCTCAATTAATTCAATTTCATATTGTATCGTTTCAAATTCATCAATAATTGGTAATATCTTTTCGAGTCTGGTATTTAATTCAATAATTATATTTTCATCTAGTATTGTGGAATCTAATGAATTTACAAAATTTTGCACTCGCGTCAATTTGGATTTAATGAATCCACGCTTCGCTTTAAGTTCCGCCATTTTGAATACAATATTAAACACAACCGAGCAATATGTGAAATTATTGGGATATTATGAAAGGAATAAAAACAGACTTACTTGTAATACAGGTGTGTAGATGTTGTAATTGTCCTCAGCCTTCGTTCCCTTGTTTGCTCTGGTCTGACCGCCACGTGGTTATAAAGTTTAGCCGCTTTGGAATGTTTTTTCTTCACAACACTTAGAAATTTGTTATCACTATTGTACTTTAATTAACTGCTTGTAATTCACGATACGGTTCGAAGTACCAAAATGTTTATTTGTGCGTATTTCAAGAATTTACCAAAACTCTTCTTCTTCGATCACTCAGGTTGTTAGGTTATTATTTAACCTTTGTCGCTGTGGACTGTATTAAAAAACTGATTTAATTTTATATTCTGTATTTGTTGCAGTTCTAATCACAATAACTGATGTATTATTAAGTATTAATGAAGAAAAATATATTTATGCGTATAGGTTAGTTACATGTGGTTAAGTCGGCTTCACTTTTAGAACAGAAGGACTCGTTCCTTTAAAACACAACGCTACCCCCACTACCAGGGGTAGCAACCATTTCGTATAAAGCTTAATGCTCTGAAGTTTTGTAAACTTTCATGCCAATATAATAAAATGAAAAGACGTCCGAACAATTATAGAGTTAAAAAAAAAAAAAAAAAAAAAAAATATTATAGAAATTATGTAATTATAACTCCCTGTGGCTTTACAGGTGTGAAAATATGTAAATGCAATTCATTACGCAGTAATAATTTCAAATATAAATTATAATACAATAAATAATTTTGAAACAGTTTGACGCATTTATAAATTAACTCACAAACCAAAAATTATTTAATAACAGATTATTATGTAATATACTCAATGCTATTGCGTATAATTTCATATATATGTATATGCGGATTAATAACCTTTTGTCATAAATAAAAATCAATGAACCTATCATGAAATATAATTTTTATCAAATGAAAATTTATATTTGTGAAATAAAGCTACTACACTCTTAGCCTACATTTGGACTTGAATAGCTTTCATTTCAGTAATCATAGCAGAATAGATTATAGAATTATATGTTGTGAATTATTAATAATAAAAAAAATCATTAATAATTAATCGTAGAAAATTGAATATGCAAAGAAACGTGGAAATTTGATTGCAGACAATTGGTATAAATATAATTGCAATCAATCAAGCTCATATATATTTTATTATAAAGTCTGAAATGCATATACTTGGTGGCAATATGATAGATGGCGTCAAAATGGCGTCAACAAACATATTTCTTAATATATAATGAAAAAAAAGTTCATATACTTACATTGAACTCACAAGTAGCCGGGGTCATTAGGATTTCAGAGCACTTGATTTCATTTACACACAAAATTAGATACAACTCTTTTAAAATAATTACTCAACCTTTTGGCATTAGGAGGTTGAAACGACAATGGCCCTTAGACTTAGTCTTAGAATAGGTCTAATATAATATTATATTAATTGTAAAACTGAGAAGTTCTCATTGGAGTTCTTTTTAGGCATCACTCATAAATATTGTCACTTTAGCTCATAGGAATCTTCATATATTTCTGATTGCTAAATAAAACTGAGTTAAAAAAAAATATTTGCAAACCAAAATGGCGTCACCTATCATATTTTTGATTATATTATCGTTGTTATATACTTAAAGTGAACTCACAAATAATCGCGGTCATCAGTATAGCACTGCACTTGGTTCTATTTTTATACAAAATTAGATGCACCTCACTTTTTACAACACAACATTGATAAGCACTACAAACATCCGCCATTTTATCTGCCAACTAACTGCACTAGCGCAAAACCGTTAACAAGCACGACGCTCTAACCAACTGAACTAACACGCCATAAACTGCACTACCATACAACCACGTGTACCAACTTAACAAAAAAAAATCGATATTCGATAACTTGAAATTGGATTTCAGAAATATATCGTTTGTATCTGGTTTTTGTGTTGGTAAATATGGTTGGTACCATTGTTGTACAGATGAACGGAGGTGCAAATGGTTGATTCATGACAGATAAAATGGCGGGTATAAATTATGGTGCTTATAAATTTTATATTATTGTAAAAAGTGAGTTGCATCAAATTTTGTGAAAAAATGGAATCAAGTGCACTAAAATGCTGATGACTACTTGTGATCCAATATATGTAAACGAAATCGATTTTTGTTATATGTTGACAAATATGATAGTGACGCCATT